GCTCCGCATTGCTACCCAAAATCGCCTCCTCGTGGAGTGCGATGGTTCTCTCGGCAACTGCAGCAGCAGCAATAGCCCTCAGCAGCAGCAGCCAATATAGAGCACGCAAAACAACAGCAGCTGACGCAGCAACAGCCGCAAGGTCTGCAGCAGAGAGGCTCTACCAGCAACACCACCGCCAGCAGCCTCTACAACAGAAGCACCAGCAACAAAAAACGACGAAAGAGCTGCAGCAAAGCCAACAGCAGCGGCGAAACCAACGGCAGCAGCAACCAAAACAGCAGCACCAGCTCCGCCTTACTGTCTAGGTCATCTGCAAGCTTCGAGGCCCTCTCGCTCTCCTTGAGCCACATCTCTTTCGCCATTTCTGCCGCTGAGGATCTTTGCTGCAGCAGCAGCTGCGTCGTCTGCAGCGCCTCCTCTGCTGCCTTTTGCGCTGCTCGGCTGGCCTTCAGATCCTGCTGCAGCTTCTGCAACTCCTGCTGCTGCTCCTCCAGCTGTTCCCTCAACATCTCCTGTTGTTGCTCGCTGGCTGAAAGAGATGCCTCTGTTCGTGCTGCATCGGCTTCAACAGCAGCTAGCTGCTGTTGCAGCTGCCGTCGCTGCTGCCGCAGCAGCGCCACCTCCGCGCTCCACTCAGCAGCAGATCGTCGCTGCTCTTCCTCGTTGCTGCTACTTGCTTCTGCTGCTTCGCCGACTGAGTGCTTTTCCGCAGCGCCCAGTTTTCGCTGCCATTCTTGCTTCCGCTGCTGCTGCGGCTGCAGGCTGCCGCGGGCAGCAGCCACAGACCCAGAATCTGAGTCATCCGTCTCTCTTGGTGAAGAGTCCAAGAAGGAAACCTTCTGCAGCAGAAAAGAAACGCAGCAGCAGGAGCAGCAGCAGCCAAGAGATGAGCAGCAACAGCACCAAAATACGCCTACCAGCGGCGCAAGCAGCACGGTTCAAAGGCTAAGCAGTAGCAGCAGCAGCAACCAACTAGCAGCAACGAGCAGCAGCCGCCCCAGAAACCTAGAGAAGCAACAAACAGCCGCAGCACGAGATGCAGCAACTGTCAACTGCCTCACTTTCTCTGGAGGGCTTGCCATGGGCCTGTAAGCTGGAGGATGCTCATAAGAATACTGTGGCTGAGTAGGCTGCTTCTGCTGCTCCTTCTTTGGTTGCTGCTGTTGCTCCTGCTGCTGCTGCTGCTGCTCTTGCTTTTGTTTGTCCGCCGGGTCATCCCACACAAAATGGCCGCTAGAGATGGGCTCTGGGGGCCACCAAGCAGCAGGAGAAGGCCACGTGGGCTGTTCAAAGCTGTTCTGCTGGCTGCTGCTGCTGTCCTGTTGTTGCAGCTGGGTAGCTCTTTGCTGCAGCTGCTGTTGCTGCTGCTGCCTATCTCGCGGGGACAAGTCGGAGCCGCTGTCGGATAGGGCGGAGGAAAATGCCCCGAAGTCCTCGAAGCTTGTAGCTGCGCTGCTGCGTCTCTTTTCCGTTTGCTGCCGCCGCTGCTGCTGCACCTGTTGCTGCTCTTGCTGCTCTCTAGTAGCACCTACGCCTTCCAGAGAATCCCAGCTGCTGCGTGCTGCAGCACCGGTAGCAGCAGGCCCGAGAGCCTCTCGCAAGCCCTCTGCCTCACCTGAAAACTCAGCCACTTCCAACGAAGTCCCCCAGCCCTGAGGTGTGTCCGGCTCGCCCGCAGCAGCAGCAGCTGGAGCAGCAGCAGATGATGCAGCAGCAGCGGCCGAATCCGTCAGCAACACTGCCGCACCTGTTTCATTCTCAGGTCTTGCACCCGAGTTCATGCCCCCTGCGCTGCTTCCAGCTGGTGGTTCGTTCCCTGCTGCTTCTCCTGTTGTTCCAGTTGCTGCAGTTGTTGCTGCGGCTGTGTCCGGAAAGGTTATACCTGTATCGATCGTGAATGACGCTTCTTCAACAGCTTTCGAGTCTCTGCTCTGGCTCCTGCTGCTGCTGCGCTTCTCTTTGCGGCTGCTGCGGCTGCTGCGGCTGCTGCTGCTGCGCTTGCTTGTCGGACTCTTGCTGCAGTTGCTGCTGTGCGTGTTCAGCTCACCAGCAGAAGTTCCAATCCCCTGGTTCTCTTCCCCCTTTCGCCGCTGCTGCTGCTGCTGCTCCTGCGGCTGCTGTTGGAGTTGCTGCTGCGTCGTGTCAAAGGGCTCGTCAGCGATTGCGAATAGCATGAGCTCGTCTGCTGCTGCGCTCGGAACAGCAGTGGCAGCAACAGCAGCTGCTGCAGCAGGTGCCGCTGCAGGAGAGGCCAAATCTGCTTGCTCAGAAATCACTGGCGTGCGTACATCTGTGCTGCTTGTCGGTCCCTCTGTTGTTAAGGCGGCTTCAGAAAGCCCTTGGTCTTCTTCTGCTGTTGCTGCTGTTGCTGCTGCTACTGCTGCTGCTGCAGCTGATGCTGCTGCTGCTGCATCTGCTATATTGTTTGTTTCATTGTCATGCTTCTGCTCGTTCCCCTCCAGATGTCGCTGCTGCTCATGCTGCTGTTGTTCGTGCTGCTGCTGCTCTTGGCGCTGCTGTCCCTGCTGCTGTTGCTCGTGTTGCTGCTCCGCATGTTGTTGCTGCTCCTGCTGCTGTTGCTGCTGCTGATGAGTCTCCTGGTTAAGATGGGCACGTGTAGCTTCCAAATTTTGTAGAGTCGCCTCCACGGTGTCCAGGAGCTGCAGAGATACCCCAACAGCAGCAGTAGTACTTTTGCTTCAAGCAAACACGAAACACTTAATGCAGCAGCAGCGGCAGCAACGGCACAACGAGCTGCTGCTGCCCTTTTCCTAGACCTTCCCTAGCCCGTGAGCACAGTAGGCAGCAGCACAAGTCTCAAATCGAGGCGACAAACACCCACGTCACTCGCCTGGGGCCCAGTAGCACTCGCAGCGCCACTGGAGGTGCGGCAGCAGCAAAGGCAGCAGCAGCAACGGCAGCAGCAACAGCAGCTACAGATGTAGCAGCAACCAGGCATACCCTTGAAACGTCTGCAAAGCGGTCGAGACGTCCCTCGTCTACAAGCTGTGTTGCGTCCCGCTGCAGCTGCTGCTGCTGCTGCTGCAGCCCTTCCTTCAGGGAGTCTAGCATTGACAGCCCCTCAGCTGTTGGCTGCTGCAGAAGCTCCTGCAGGAGCTCCAGGCTTGACATTACCTCTAGCGCAAGAGCAGCAGCAGAAGCAAAGCATGCAGCTCCGGAAGCTATTTGAGCAGCAGCGAGCTCATACGCGGCAGCAACGGAAGCAGCAAGACAAACACATTCATAACTGCAGCAAAAGCTGCTGCAGCCGCACAGCAGCTGCTGCAGCGGCCTGCTGCTGCTGGTGCTGCGGCGGTAAGACGGCACTCGAACTTGGTTTCGTAGCCGCCACGCAGCAGCAGCAAAATGCTGCGCCGTATGGAGCCCCAAAGTATGAATCGTGAAGCATCAGCAGGTGCATGGCAGCAGCAACTCAGCCGCAACAGCCACGCAGCAGCAGCAACTGCAGCAAGAGCAGCAGCAGCAATCGCAGCAGGAACGCACCTGCAATGCGAATCTCGACTGACGAGCTCGAGGCCGTCAGATTTGGCGGAACCTGTTGTTGTTGTTGCTGCTGGTGCTGCTGCTGATGGCTTGGGTTTTGGTTGCTGCTCAGAAACAGCATTTGCTGCTGCTGCTGCAGCAGCACCTCCGCAGAAGTGCCGCACATGGCTTGGACCTCCATTTCCGGCGACGGGGGCGCCTTGTCGACGCCAAGGCTTTGCAGCAGCACTAGGGACCTTTTGATTTCCTGCTGCACGCCGAGGGGATCTGCTGCTGCTGCTGCTGCTGCTGCTGCAGTGTAAAGACACCTCGCAGCAAGCATGCCGCAGCAACGCATTTCCATTTCAGTTGTCCCCGTGGGAAACAGCACCTGCAGGCGGGTCTGAGCTGCCAACGCCTGCTGCTGCTGCTGCTGCTGCTGCTTCCGCCGAGGCGGTGGATTCGGGGACCGCAGCAGCATCAAGACAGAGAACTGCTGCAGCCACTGAAGAAGCGAAAGAGAAGCTGACAAAGCTGAGGCATTGTTTCTGCTTGTGCTGCGGCTACTGCTGCGGCGCACCCCCGGAGCTTGTGCAGCACCTATGAGCAAGACAGCAGCAATAATGCGGAAGTAGCCAGAGGCTTCGAGCAGCTGCTGTAGCAGCAGCAGCGCCAGCAGCTTGCTGTCCGACCCTGCAGCGGGCTGCAGCAGCCGCTGCTGCAGCAGCTGCTGCGCAACAGCACGCGCGTTGCCCAGGTCCTCGCAAGAGGAAGCAACGGCGCCTGCTGCAGCTGCTGCTGTTGCTGCCGCTGCTACGCGATCGCGACTTGTGCTGGCTCCGTAGGGCCGCGGGGTAGTAGCTGCCAGAGCCTGCAACACGCAGCAAAAGCAGCAGCAGCAGCAGCAGCAACAGTGAAAGAAGTGCAACAAATGCGTAATTTTAAGCAGCGAAGATGTCCACTGGAGCTGCAGCTGCAGCCATTAGGCATCCTAAGCCAGAAGCAGCAGCAGCAGCTCAACGAAGAATGCGTAACAAGCGAGATTCTGCCGAAAACAGCTGCATATCCGGCTGCTGCTGCTGCAATGCTGCAGCTCTGGCTGCCGCATCAGCGAACGCTGCAGTCGAGGCAGGAGCGGCAGCAAGAGATGTCCATGGAGGTAAGCAGCAGCTGCTGCTTCTCCGTTGGCCAGAAGGCCTGCTGCTGCTGCTGTGAGGTATAGCTCACTTGCTGCGCCGCAGCTTCCGCGTCTCGGGTTGCTGCATTGGCCCGTGTTGCTTGCTGCTGCAGGGCCTGCAGCTCCTTCTGCTGCTGCTTCTGGGTAGAGGAAAGCCACGTAAAAAGCCCCATTTTGCCACTGCTACTGCTGCTGCTGCTGCTACCGCTGCTGCCGCTGCCGCGGAGGCAGCCTCACTGGTGCGTCCAGCCACAGTTGCTGCCGTTGTTGCTGCTGCTACTGCTGCTGCTGCAGCTCTACTTGGCTTGTGGGCTTGTTTCCTTGGGGTCGCCGAATCCATCTAAGCTCCGCATACACAGGCTTTGCGGTGTATGCGCGGCGGCAGCAGCAGCAGCAGCAGCTGCTGCTGCCGCCGCTACCGCACGCTGAAATCAAGAGCACTTGGTTCGCCCTTGCTGCCCTCTCCGCATACGAGCCGCTGTCTTGCCCCCAGTGCGGCTGCGGCTGGGTTTGCAGCTGGTCCAGTGCTGCTGCTGCTGCTCGTGGTGCTGTTGCTGCTGCTGCTATTGCTGTTGCCGCAGCTGCTGCATGTAGAGGCCCTGGAGCCCTTTATAGGCAACAACTGTTCAGGTGCTGCTAAAAATATCTAAAACTAACTCATTGGAGGCTCTAAAAACGGACCTGCAAGAGCGGCGCCGCAGCAGCTGCTGCTGCCGTTATTGCGGTTGCCGCTGCTGCTGCATGCCTAAACAGCGAAAGGGATGAGACACAGCAGCAGCACCAACAGTTTGTCCCCCAGCGTCAAATCTGCTATAAATGAAGCTCCCATTTGCAGTGAGGCAGCAGCAGCAGCAGCAGCAGCAGGGTTCAGGGCCAATCGACGGTCAGCGCTCCTGTTGCTAGCAGCAGCAGCAGCGGCAGCAGCAATCGGCAGCAGCAGGAGCTGTTTCCCCAGCAAAGGCTGCTCTCGTGTCTGCTGGCCACCTCCCTCCTTGCTATAGCAAAAATACTGTGTGAAATTATACTTTAGCTCGAGAACAAACTCTAGCGACTCTTGCCGCTGCTGTTGCTGCTGTCCTTGCTGACCACCCGGGTCTGTGTGGGCTGCGGCGCTGCCGCCGCC